TAAGTTTTTTTAATTATTTTTTTAAATAAATATAAAATATAAGTGCCTATATTTAGGCAATGAACTTTATCTATGTATATCTACATGAATGAAAACATAAAATAAATAAAACACACACACACACACTTCGTTCAGAAAATATTTTATTTTCGATTTTTGTGCGATTACTCTAACTTACCCTAGGGAAAGTTAATACAAACAAATGTTTTGTATTTACTTACAAATAGTATCAAAAATCATTTTATTCCGTCGTGCTAAAAGTGGTGTAATAATTTAAGAAAAAAAAAAGATTATTTTCTTACTTTATTTCAATAATTTACAACTTCAACTGATGGAAATAATATTGATCGTGCAATTTACTTAGATTTTATTATTTAGCTTCTATTAAAGTTTTAATGGTATTTAATAAGCGTATGCTTAGGTGTTAGCTATTATTTATTGGGGTTCGATTAAACTCATGAACTCTGTCAGTTAATAGGCAATTTGTATTGCTTTATGTCCTCTTCATTTAGCAAATGTCGTTTTAGTGATGCAGTAAACTTATATCTTAACTATTTCATGGGTTTGGGGCCGGATGATATCAACATTAATAACACAAATTGATATATAGATGTATATATGCATATATATATATATATATATATATATATATATATATATACCCTGATATTATTTGAGTACAGTTTCAGGAATATTCAAACGAATGAATAAATATTCCAAACTTAATTATTTTTACATAGGTAAATTAGTAGATTTATTATTGTAATAGGCCCATTATAAAGTAATATTTTCTCATAACACAAATTTAATTTTATATACTACAGTACTAATAGTAATAAAGAGACAAATCAACTCAAAATATGGTACTAAAACAATCAAAATCTTCAAATAACAAAAATGTATATATCGACGTAAAATATGTATGTTATATACTTATGTTATATAAAATATACAAAAATATATAAATATATGTTGTACATGCTTTTTTCTTTTAAATTGAAGTATTAACACCAAAGGAAATTTAGGTACTAAATGCATATCTGGAATATTACAATTCAATGAACAACTAACAAAAAAATACTTATCACTGTAATAACTCATATCAACGCATACAAAAGAGAAACAAACTATTTTTGTTCTTTTTGATTTTTTTTACTCGAATTTTTTCAATAATAAAATTATCAAGTATTTTACCATTTGAGAATTCTGATTAAATGCGCTAACTTTTGATGAAATCTGCCAAAACCCTTTAGTACATTTTTTTTAAAACAAAAACCTCTCACAGTCAACCCATTAAAAAAAAAATCATGTTTCAACAAAATCTTAATTCTTAAAAACTTAAGGCATTTGTGTTATTTTTTACTGTGGCCAATAAATGCTATTCATGATTAGTTTTGTAGTTTGAATGAACAAAATTAATAAAAATTAACCACAATAACTGAAAAATTGTCATAATTTCACCAAAGCTCTGGGTTGCACTAAAAAGCTCGTAATTTCCAAATAACGTGAGATTTTTTTTCCTGAACAGTTAGGACAAAACTACCACCCCTTTTCGGCTTGACGTTGGATTCTGGGGTACCCAGTATATTTGTGAGATTCATTCGCAATGCATTTATGTTATATAATGTGTAATATTATATATAGACAATATATGTGTATGTCGACTTTTGCTTCAAGATTTATCACTGCATGTTAAACTTCTGACAACTCTATTTTTTTTACTATAATTTTTAGATTTTTAGAAGTGTAATTTTTAGTTTTCGAACATCGAAATATGTTAGAATAATAAGGCATAAAATATGTCTGATAAATAGATTTACTGAGCAACAGCGTCACTCCTGGGGAAAAAACACTTAGCGAAATAGTTAATAAATAAATCTTAAACGGCATTTTTTTTAGATTACATTGTTTACAATATAACAAAATTTGTGTTTTGTCTATATTCTTTGTAGTTCAAAAATTGAATGAAATAGTTAAGATATAAAACATGAGAAAGGAAAGCAGAACTAAGTATTACTAGGGTTCAGTTATTTATAGTAACAAAAACTACTTTATTGCTGCCATTTTATTAGCCTCTACGTATTTTTATCATTTTTTTCGGATCTTGTATTTTCGTGTTTTATTTTATCTCATTGTCTACCTAGCCCTACATTTTTTGCAAAAATAAATCTTAGAAAGAAAATCGTTCCATATTCATAGAATATAAATAGACTGAAACGAAGTTTGTTGAAAATATCTTATAGAGCAACGAAATGAACAAGGGTAAAGGACAAGAACAAGTGTTATTGTTATTTGATAAAACTTTAATCTTTATATTAAATATCATAGTCATATAAATTCTTCATAAGTTCGTTTTATCATTCGTACTATAAATCATCTGTAATTCTATTACAGATAGAGAGCACTGTCAACTAAACACAGATACTAGAGCTTTCTCAACTTAAAATCGGATTGTTAAATTTTCATTATTGCTGATAACTGAGCATTGCGAGTAAAATATGGCATCGTGTGGACATAAATTTACGCTATTTTATTGTGCACTTCACACATCACTATATAGATTCTTTCGCAGTCTCACATTAATAAAATAATATCATCAGCTGCGGTAAGAGCTTTTCCAATTCACTTATAGAAATACTATATACGATAATATAAAGAAAGCGTAGCCAGCACATCGACACATTGTAGCAAGTCGAATGTTTATATAGAAATTCAACGGCATGATTTATAGGTGACGGAGAGCATATCATACATATATATATATATATATATATATATATATCTTATATATATATATATATATATATATATATATATATATATATATATATATATATATATATATATATGTGATTTAGTAGTTAATTTTGATGTTGAAATATATGAGTGAGTTCTTGAGGGCGATACATCAAACAAAGAAAAGCCAAAGATTTATAAAATAATCTTTATTTCCAAACGTTTCGACATTCAATGTAATGCCATCATCAGTGGATATTACGTTGGTTGGTTACATATAGAGAAGTGTACACAGCACTAGAGATTGGCACGTATATTGGCACGATGTATACATGCCTCGGTACTAGCAAAGTACAGAAGTCGTGGCAGAAATTACATAATTCTACTTACATTTTTGTTCAATAAAACTATCATTTTTCTGTTTACATCATACAAAAAAAATTATATAAAAAATGCATAGTGCTGACAAGTTAGTTGTATAAATGTTAGTGCCAATCTCTAGTGCTGTGTACACTTCTCTATATGTAACCAACCAACGTAATATCCACTGATGATGACATTAAATTGAATGTCGAAACGTTTGGAAATAAAGATTATTTTATAAATCTTTGGCTTTTCTTTGTTTGATGTATCGCCCTCAAGAACTCACTCATATATATATGTATATATCTTAAATAAAATTAACCTCACTGAAAATAATAATCTATCTGACTTAGAGACTCGTATACCTACCATACATTAAATAACTATATTTTCCTTAGTAAAACTGATTTTATAAATCAGGACTCCGACTAGTCAACAACTTCAGTATGACGATTAGCACAAAACCACGACTCCTTTTAACGTCGAATGACTTAAAAACTCGTCTATAAAATCAACTGCCTAAATTGCAATTTAATTTATAAAGAGGTAACGAGCCAGAAATTAATAAAACAATCACAACAATACAAAAATTATTCAAAAACTCCTAGACAATTTAAAACTATGCTCACGGACCACATTAATACTCTAGAAAACAATATAGGCTTTCTTAAACCGACTGTACTACACTTTTAAGAAATTTTATACAAAAGAAAAATTTGCCAAGCACTGTTCTATATCATCTATAGTGATAAAACTATAAATGAAAGGAATAAACTCAATATGTTGTGCAAGACTAACATTCTTTATCTGATAGTATTTCCAAATTTCTTACAAAACAATAAAAAATGTATAAAGAACACAAAATTAGTTCCAAACATGTTAGAATCTTAAAATTAGTAAAAATATTTTTTAAATCCTTTCTTCATTATGCCGTGAACTAGTTTGCAGATAACACATATGCTGCACACTTACTAAATATTTTATATAAAAAGTTTTGCAGGCATTATTAAATAAAAAAACAAAGAGAGGTTATTTTTAAGTAATATTATTTAAATTATCTCACGTATCAAGTCTTGATTAAACTTATCTTCAGGGAGATTAGTGCATAACAGAAAAAAATATATAACAGAAAAATTAATTTATTGATTCATATTGTATCACTTTTTAAGAATCTCATGCAAAATGAGCCAAATCAGGACTCAAAGCGTATATCTGCATCTGGTAAATTTATTTTACATTTATCCCAGACAAAGAATAGCCAATACACATTTGCGATATTTTAATAATTATAACTCTTGTTTTGTTTCAGGTGGTGTTTATGATGTCGAAAACTATGAATGTATTGGAGCTGTTATATTTAATATGAGGATGCCAACTGTAAGTGTTTTTTATTAATAATTTTGTTTACTTAAATTATTATGAAACAATTAGATTCAATATATTATAATTATATTTTTTAATTATTATATTTTTATGCTAAACTTATAGATATATACATACTAGTGTATATGAATGTTTATGTTAATGTTAATTTTAACATGTTTATTTATTATTGAATATAATTTAAAGAAGCTGTAATAATCGTGCGCAATAATATTCTCCGCGGATTTTATTACGTCCTTTTCAAAATTTTGATCTAGTGAGTTTTATTAAATTTTATCCCCTAGAAAATCCACATAAATAAACCCATGAAATATCGGATGTTCCAACAAACTTTTGTCTAAAATTAATCTTTGTAATTACAAAATTAAGTTCTAAAAACATTTGCACAGTGAGGAAGTTAATGAATGTTTATTATGCTTCAGAGACAATACAATATAATTTATTAGAAAACTTTTTGCAAGCAAGTAAATTTTTTGCCTTGGGAGTCGTTTAAAATATTAATGCTTACTATGACTTACCATTTTTCAACGGCCCTGGGATTACATCAGTGGTAGATGTAGAGCGCTCCTGGGGTCATGTTTTTGGAAAAAGTTTCTTTGTATACTTCAACTTATATTAAAAACACTTATAAATAATATATTTGAAAGTTATAATTCATCACATTTTTAGGTAAGATAACTGTTTTATATTTTATATTCTATTTTATGTTTGGCTGTGCAGCTTTGTGGGGGTTGAACTGAAAAGTGTTAGCTTTATATTAGAAGTAGGTATTTATACGTTATAATTCACATTGCCTGTAATTCTGCTATTCCAATAAGATTTTAGTTTTCAATTAAAATATATTTTTGATTCCTGTATTTTGGCATATCAAAAAATCAATATTATGCGACACCAAGTTAATTAGAAGCTACATGGCAGAAACTGTATCCCCTGCAAAACCCATTTTGCATATATATATATATATATATATATATATATATATATATATATATATATATGTATGTATATATTCGGGTGGTCCTTAATATGAACATTTTTGAATTTCCTTGCTCTCAAGGACTCAAATGGTTCCAAATTGATAAAAAACAATTCTCTGAAAATTTTAACTCTTAATATTAACTTTTAAATAGTGCACAATTCAATCAAACTTTGTATGGAAATAGCATGGAAATATTTTGGAAAATTGAAAAAAAAATTTTTAGGTATAACTTAGCGACAAATGAATTAAAAATGAAAATTCGTGTCATTTTTTACTGAAAATTCGACGCTCTGCAAAAGTTTTAAAAATTTATTCATGCTATTTCCATACAAAACTTTGAGTTGCGCTCTATCTAAAAGACAATATTAAGAGCTAAAACTTTCAGAAAATTGTTTTTTATCAATTTGGAACAATTTGAGCCCCTAGGAACAAGGAAATTCGAAAATGTCCATATTAAGGACAACCCTAATATATATATATATATATATATATATATATATATATATACACCTAAGTCTGTTTTTACACGGAGATTGGTTCCAGAAGAAGCCGTGTAAAAAAAAACGTGTAAAAAAAGACATTGATCTTATACAAAAATGGGTGATTTGTCCTACTCTCTAAAACCTATTAAAATTAGTGAAAAACAACAATTTTCAAGAACAAGAATTCATGTTTATTTTAATAATATAAATTAGTGCTATTCACATTTGCTTTGACCAGTAAAAATTGTTTGTACGCACTAAAGGGGAATTTACTTAAATCTTTAAGCTAGTGTTCGCAAACTATCGATACTATCGATGGTTTCAGACTTTTTTCTTTCATAAGTACTTTTTTGTGATATGAACATACATCGCAAAAATTAAATTTGACAAAAAAATTTAAGTACATAAAATTTCAAATCGTGCTAAATGGAATAAAATCGTGTGAAAAAATTAAAAATATTCAATTTTCAAACCGTGTTATATCAAAACCGTGTACAAAAAGACCGTGTAAAAACAGACTTAGGTGTATATATATATATATATATATATATATATGCCGATTATATTAAATAAATAATAAACTTAACAGTTTGCTAAATTGATTTATGCCGACTTTAATGGGTTTTTGAAATATATAAATTTGAAATTGTTTACTATTAATTTTGCGCGTCAACTCGCACGACATTTATTGACATAAATGCAGAGAAATCAAATTCTTAATTTACTGATTTATGATAACTAGTCAGAAAATCATGTAGTAATATATATATATATATATATATATATATATATATATATATATATATATATGTATAGTGTTAAATGATTCATTCTTTGTACAATACTACTTTCATGCAAGTATTCTGCAAAACAAGCTACTATTTTATTCTCAATTCATCAAGATTTATCGTATCGTTGAAGATCTGCTTGAATATAAATAAACATACATTTTTCAAATTTAGTACTTTCAATATTTAATTTGGGATTACAAAAAATAATAAAATATGTAATTGCTTATATATCTGCTTGGCGAAAAAAATTACTTGATAAAATCATCTATTTTATTTAAAAAGATTAAATTTTCTAACAACTGTTCTAAGAAAATATAAGACGCGGTCTCTTATTAAGTTAAATACAGAAAAGATAAAAATCAAATTGATCTTTAATTTTTCTCTTTCGGACAGATACTCGTTTATCATTACTATTTAATAATAATCTATATTATATATGCGATATTTATGAGGAGAGTCAAATCCAATTACATTAATTTCTTTGTTACATTTAAATAGCTTTTTTCAGAAAAGCTTTATCACAGTGCTTTTTTCTTTTTTTTCGTATACAAATCGCTTATCGAAAATGATCGGAAGGACGTGTATCACCTTCACTAATGCACAGTTAGTAATTTATTATACGTACATATATATATATATATATATTTATTTATTTATTTATATATACCCATCCCCGTCTTACACTGCACTCGTTTTACGCATTTTCGATCTCACACGGTTTTTGAAAATATTTTTTTTAAAATAGTTTTTAGTTTTACAATTACATGGAATTATAAATACTAAACTATATTTTGCTTAAATCTACAAAAACATTTTTATTGTTTTATTGACAAAATACTGCACTACAAAATGTACGTTATAGTTACGAATTCTAAGCACATAGTCTATGTTCATGAGGAAAATATGAAGATATGATCGAAACTCCCCGTTTTATGTTGAAAACTGAATATTATGTGCGTATAAGCTAGTTTGTTTGAAATACCAAAACAAAGAGCATCATTGTATTTAAACTTAATTTTTAATCAGTGTTTATATATAATTGATAGCGTAAGTTTATTCAGACTCAAAGTCTAAATTATTTTTTAGAAAATCTATAAATCTATAATTTATATGAATTTTGACAATGGCAGAAGATAAAAATAAAAATCTAGAGAGTAAAAGAAAAGTTTTAGTTTTACAAACAAAAATTTAAATTTTGAACCGTCTTCGTAATAATAAAGAAATAATAGATGAATTAAGCTATAATTTATTAAAGGTGTTTGATATTAAGAAAATTAATATTGTTTTCTGTGTAATGTGTTTGTTATTCATCATATTAAAAACTGAGGAGAAGAACTTTTTCATATTAATTTTCTTTTAGCGTGGTATTTTCATATAAGAATAAATTTTTTGAATTCCACGGATTTTTATGGAACCTATTTTTTGTGTAAACAGGGAAACAGGTTATGTACGTATAATTATGAGCACATATTATGTATCATCTGATAATAAAAATAATGTGGTAGTTGATACCATCATAAAGTTGTTAAAGTATGAGAAAAAAATACATGGCACGAGCAAATCTGCAAAGTGAATAAGAAATATCAAGTAAAAATTAATATGGCCAAATTGGAAATTTTGAGAATATTAAAACAAGATGCCTACAGATATCATAAGGCAATAGAAGTCGTAAACCACTCCAAATACTTGGGGAATATTTGGACGGCTGTTGAGAGAAAGATTAGAGCAGAAATAGCCGAAGCGGAGAGAAACATGCTCGACTTGAATATGCAATTACTATTATTATAAGGAAAACTGAAAATATTTTTCTATGTAGATCTGAGATATGCTCTTTATGAATAGGTTTTAAAATTACTGATAGACTGACATCAACAGAAAACCGCTGAATGTTCATGTGAACGAAGAGCTAAATTTGGTATTTTTCTGAGATCAATTTATCCCATAATGAAGTAAATGAACAATATTTGATGCTGCTAAGAATATATATACTAAGAAAGCTTACAGAACATAAAAACAAAGAATAAATTGCAACAGTGTTCTAAATTTAAAAATTATGTTCAAGAATAATTGTTTTAAACGTGTAATTCTTTAAAATCATCCAGTTAGCTCCTAAAACACCATTGTATTAATTTATTAGTACCCGACGAATCGATATTGCCGTTTTCCATCTAATAATAAGTAAATAGAGATATGTTTTATAACTTCGATATACATGAAAATCGAGAATAATTTTTGTTTGCTAATATATGATAACAGTAAATATTCAATTCATACTGAAACTGCTATACAATAGGGGAGACTGGATACGGGTTACGGTAGTGACATTGGCCATAACACATAAATAATACTGATTTTGTGATTGGCTCAAAAAGGAAAAAAATGAAGTATGTTTGTTCGAACAAGTTTCCATTGCATTGAGTCAGCGCCCTGCATTAACATGATCGTAGGCCGCATTGCTTTTAAAGGGTAAAAAAAAGTTTCTTTGTTTGACTACTTTAATAATAACTGTTACCTGTATACAGGTAGATCACTTTGTTTGCTATTTTGCTGTAAGATGTACATTAGTAGTTATTTACCAATAATTAGTTCTATTTTATGTGGCATGTATTTCTTGTCCTTTTTGGGTTAAATTTAAACAGATAGCAAAAAATCTAACTTCACTAAGGCAAAATAGTTATTATTTTAGTATTTTCACGAAGACAAATGTTCAAAATTTATTATTTAATGTACTTTTTTCCCACCTATCTGATAAAATAACAAATGTTATTGCCGATGAAAAAAGGTATCACAACCGTACCCAGTCTAACCTATATTCGTATGATTTTAACTTATTTGCAGTGTCATGTCATTTATAATATTCCTTTTTATATATAAAAGACACTAATACGATAATTATGCATAAATTTGACAAAACCTATTTATATATAACCAATCATACTAAAAATAAATGTTTTTCTGTCGACAACATGAATTTGACACTTAGTTTTCAATTTTATTACACATATTAAGAATATCTAAAAGTTAAAAGGGTTCCACATTTGTTGTTTTCTTTAAACTGTTGAAAGCAAAAGATGTATGCCGAATGTGCATTAATTTAAATGGATTTTTTCAATTTATCAAATTGAATACATGATTTCTTTTGTTTGCCTATTCTATCGATGTTTCATCGAGCGTTGGTACTTCTATTTTTAAAGCTTTTAACCATATTGATTACTCAGCACTCGTCGCAATGTGATTTCTTCAGATTTCTAACAAGACACGACAACTCACTATAAATTATTTATTCGAATCACTTAAACTTCGATCATTCATTTTAATTTTTTTTTTCGTTACTTAACAGAAACACCAATTGAATTAGAACAGAAATAATTGCGATAATACAAAGCAACACACCTATTTTACTGACATATAAATGATTTAGTAGTTAGTTTTGATGTTAAGATATATAAGTAAGTTCTTATAGAGCGATACATCAAAGAAAAAAAAACAAAGATTTATTTTGTTATTCATTAATTAATCTTTAATTTCAAACGTTTCGACATTCAATTTAATATTAGTAAATCTAAAAACAGTGAAAAAATTTACGGCTCCATTTTTTCACTGTTTTTAGATCCACTGATGATGACATTAAATTGAATGTCGAAACGTTTAGAATTAAAGATTAATTTATAAATTTTTGTCCTTTTTTTCTTTGATGTACCGCCCTATAATTAAAATACATTTTAATTTGTTTTTCTTTGGCAGAATATTATCACCCACGCGCTCAAAAAAAAAATTGCCCTCCAATTTTTTTTTCACAATAACAATACAGTATATACTAAATTGATACCACTTCTTCAAGGCTTTTTTCAGAGAAAGTTATTTAGAGGCTTTTAGATATTGTAAAACTCTATATTAACAAAAGCTGACAATATTTTCAAGTTTGTTTTTCTTGATCTGCCAAATAATAAACTGTGTTGCGTTTGGAATGTTATTAATTATTAAAAATGTGAAGAGAGTAGCGACGTGTTAGAATATCCTTTATTTAGTAGGATGTTTTACAAAAATGAAAAATGCGTTTTTTCCAATTTCTTTAGCATGATCCGACGCATAATACATAGTGAAAATTGAAATGAAATATTTTTTTAATAACGAGGGTCATGTATATATCAACTTATACATTTCCATCACAAAGATACTCTTACTACTTAGATACCAATATAAAATGCTATACTCTAATTAATTGTCTATTTTTTTATCATTTCATTTCCTTACAAAAAATTCAGTATTATCTGACCTGACTTACTGTGACCTGTCAAAAATGATTTAAAATATCCTGCAAAAATTATTAAATAAAAAAGCAAGGTGGTTACCTTCAAAAAATAAAAACGTTTCATCTTTAATTACACACACACACAGATATATATATATATATATATATATGTTTAATTAAATCTTGATTAATTTTTACAATTCTGCATATTTTCGCTCTAAATCCGATTTTAATTACAATGATTAACATAAAAGTCGCGTAACTCACTCACAATGGCGACTATGGTCTTAGTTTCATGATCAAAAAGCGAATTCATATTTTATTTTTCATACAATTCATTATTCCAAATTTTTTACTACTTTGTGCCCCAAAGATCCGAATGGCCCAAAAGATTTAAGAATTACATTAACTGTAATGGGAAAGTTCTGAAGAAGAATATAAATCAGTAATCGTGTATATTTATATAGTCCAATCGTCGAATTAAAAACCGTTAAAGAAATACAATGTTTAATTTTACGTTTCGATACGTGTCTCATCAGCAATCACACCAGGTAAAACACTGTAAATCACTGATAATTGTTTTAAGAAAACCATATCTGGTAAATAATCGAAACCAAAACGAAATACATACTGCCTTAAGCAAATGTTGTCCATGGTAGCAAGATTAAAACTGTAAAGATTTTATTCGATTTCAGTTCTGATTTTGCTACGGTAAACATCCTATTTTGTTTGAGGTTTGAGGTTTTTTTTTGTTTGAGGTTTGAGTTTTGTTTATTTTTGTGTTCCTTTTTAGTTTTTGTTTTAATTATTTATAAGTTATAGGTATTTTTTTAAAACAATGATTAGTGATTTTATTTTTGTGTTGTTTCTGGTGTGGCTGCTGAATGATGACACACATCAAGTGTCGAAATTTATAATAACGATTTGTTTCTATTTAACATTTTATTATATATATATATATATATATATATATTAGGGTGGTCCTTAATATGGATAAAAAAATTCTCTAAAAGTTTAAGCACCTAATATTAACTTTTAGATAGAGCACAATTCAATCAAGAATTAGCATGGAAAGTGACTCAAAAGTGGCAATTCATGTCACGCTAAGTTATATCTAAAAAAAACCTTTTTATAATTTTTGAAATTTTTTACATGCTAATTCCATACGAAACTTTGATTGAATTGCGCTCTAGCTAAACGTTAATATTAAGAGCTATAACTTTTAGAGTTTTTTTTATAAATTTGGAACCATTTGTGCCCCTAGGAGCAAGGAAATTGGAAAATGCCCATAATAAAGACAATCTTAATATATATATATATATATATATATATATATATATATATATATATAATAAAGATTTGTATATTCAGTAGCAGTTCCAGGAATTTATTTGAACTCTTTTTGTAAACAATGAAATACTAATACTAATAATGTAGCTTTGATAGAGATTACAGCCAATACCAGAATTGTTTGAATAGCGGTATATTACATGGCAATGCCTAATTGAAACTCGCACAACACGTGCGAAACTTTATGCAAACATAGAATAGGAACAACGTGTGTTGCCGGGCTTTAATCGAACACGTACAATTTACAGATCGTGCCATTTATTAAACCAGCAGTTGATCTACTGCACTCCTGCATATGCAATTTAAATTCACACAACGCACCTGAATCAACACTATATTTAATAAAAAATAATAAAAAACACACCGAAGGAAAATGTTATTATGTCAGTTTAAATTTCACACACAATTGTTCGCGAGCACGTGTTTTCATTTTACGCTCGAACTTAAATCCGTTGCAACGCAAGACACCACGTGGAATTCAAAATAATTTTGTCACATGGGGAGGAAAGTGGTAATACACAGTTGGCACAAAAACATGAAACTTAAGTTTTATCACTTTCAGTCAACGAACTTTTTTTTACTAATTTTAGGATGAAATTAAGTTTTTATAGGCAACTAAACTGATTAGCGTAGCACTGATTAAACCTCTTAATTTTTGGAAGTCGTTCAAAAGGACACAAAATCGCGCATTGTCCGTTGGGGTCGAACTTTTGCCCCCCTATGTTGGGGTCGAGTGTCCGCCGTAGACCGTTCGAGTTGGGGGTCCAACAGCACATCTGAACGTGCAATGATGCTGTGCGCGTGTTTCCGACTGCCGTTGTGCGCGCTATCTCCCCTCTCTTGTGCGAGCAGGAGAGTTACATTTGGATAATAGTAAAGGATGACGCATGCCAAATTCTCTCGGCTGTACGCTTTTCCTTTTACTTGTATTGATGTTGTTACGATACAACTAAATTCGGGTTGCTTCTTACGCAAAGTTTTGTCAACGGGATGGGAATGTTTAAATATTAAAATTGTTTTCCAACTGCACCGAAAATAAATAACTAAAATTATATTTTTTCTTGCTAATATACGAAAACTTTGTGATTTTTACATCAATTTCTGTGAGCATACAGATACGCATGTGTTTGTATTCGGGTTTATACAAAAACCGACATTTTAGAAAACCGGTTTTCAAATTTTAATTTTGCCAGAAAACCGGTTTTTAACCGGTTTTCGAATTTTATATAGAAAATAAATTTTTGCTTGAATATTCTGTAATAATAAATATTTATCCGCAAATTTAGTGCGATTTAAAGCAGTATTTGACTAAATTTATTTATTGGTCGATTATATGAATAGTAAACAATATTATTTTAATTTTAATTAGTAGAACAAAAAATAATAGTTTATCTGAATTAAATAATTTTGAAAATAATTATTCGTTACTCATGCATCATTTTCACACATAAGAATGAAAATATTTTTATGATAGTGAAAGGAAAGTTCTCGAATAAATAAAAATAATTAATTTATAAATAAAAAACATTTAACCCTCCGTCGGTCGGCGTGGTCTGGCCAGACTTTTTTCGACTTCAATTAAAAAAAAATACTTCTAGTAATCCTATCGACTTGAAATTTCTTGACTTTTCCTAAAATTTCATTAGCTGTCGATCAATGATAAAATCAGGACGAAAAAGTGTACAGAAGGATAATTATAAGGATATTAACTTTTTTATACTTCGAACGGTCGGAAAGGTCTGTCTAGACCACCCATACATTTTGTATGAAATATACGCTTTTTGATATATGTAAACCAGTATTTTGTATTTTTTCATGGTATTTTCTATTCAAACTGCGTTGTTTATATGTGCTCTAACATGAATGTTGGTATTTTCATGACGAGAGTTCCTTGAAAACCTACCAAACTTAATGGTAATCGCAAACACTGAAAATCGGATGAGTAATGCACACATTCATTTCAAAGGCGCCGAAAAAGAATAAATATTGTTTTTCATTGATTTAAAACAGAAAAATTAACAAAAAAGCAACGGTTTTTTTTTATATTTCTTGATTTTTTTATATAATCGTTAATACATAAGACACCAAAAACTCATTTATCCCATATAAATGCATGTAAAATAAATGGTGGTTCAGCCAGACCTTTCCGACCGTTCGAAGGTGAAAAAATATCCGACCGACGGAGGGTTAATAAATTAAAAAAAAATTAAAGAAAGTAGATACATGTTAATACATACTTGTTGATATCAATTTTAGTTTTAAAAACAAATCAGCTAAACCCCGAGTATTTTCTATTCCAAGCAATTTTAATTAATTAATTTTAAAAACTTTAAATAGTTTTTTGTTTAATAAAATATGATTTTAAAAAACTGAGAAGGTCTATCAATTTCTTACTTAGACGTATCCTTTGTTTACTCACAAAATTTCCCGAAATATAAAATACTCTCTTACTTGCGACTTAACTAAGCTTAATTGTTTTTAAAGCCTAATATAATAATTCTAACTTTTTTGTTCTTTTATTTGTGGCTTCTAGAGCTAAAAACTCTTTTTTTCTAAGTTTGAGAAGAGGAAGTTACTTCTTCAAGAAGAAGGCACACTGGTTTAAAATAATATATACACTGGTAAAAGATAAAAGAAAACCTTTCTGGGAGGCCAGAACCGATATGATTTCAAGAATCAAAACGCTTGCATCTATCTTTCATATTCAGTGTAAACCGACTTTTTCTACTCAAAAACCGGTTTTTGAATTCCATAATTTTGGCCAAAAAAACGGTTTTTGAAAACCGACAAACCCTAGTTTGTATGTATGTATATATATATATATATATATATATATATATATATATATATATATATTGAAATATGTGAGTTTGGTGTTGATATATATTTTGATGAGTTATTTAGAATCGGGCAGTAACACCAAGTAAAGAAAAAAAACTAAAGTAGTTTTAAAATACTTCATTTATCCATACGTTTCGGTCTTCATCGAGACCGTCATTCAGTGGAAAACTAAAAGATTTTATATGATGTAGGAGGAAAATAATATAAAGTTATAACTGATATATAAGTACTTACAGAAATTAATTATACAAAAATACACTACACTATCACACTGTGATAAACCAGGCTATTAATAATTGAAACATTTAAACTAATTAATTTTCTTTGACAATATATATATATATATATATATATATATATATATATATATATATATATTAACAGTCTAATAATCGGGCATAACATCAATAAAAAACATGAATTTCTTTCAAAAATTTATTTTAAATCCATACGTTTCGGCTATAATCCTAGCCTTCATTCAGTGGAAAAATTAGTTGATCTTAGTGTTAAATTGGAAAATTTTAATAATCCATGGTATTAGGATATGGTAATGCACTACACTATGTATTATAAACATTAACTTGAAATTACACAATATTTTCACAAAATACTGATTTGAAAAAATCACAAATGGATAGTGTGTTATTCTTAGACTGGTTGAAGATGTAATGTACATCTGATGTTATGGCATGGTGCCTTAATACAAATTGCCAATTAACCAATTATTAAATGTTTTAAAAAAGATTAAATTTTCTGATATTTTTAATAAAAAAAAATTGACTTCTTGAAAAAAGTACTTTTCTATTTCACATTTTGAAATATTTTGGAATTTTTCAACTTTTTTTTGCAAAGCACTCGCACAAGAAATGTAAAGAAATTTATACATATTATTCAAAATCTATAAAATATCTGATAATTTGATGTACATTATTTCTGACCGACAAATTGCGGCAACTATTGACTTTTTTTATTGCATCTCCAAAACCGTTAAACCTGTCATTTCCAAAATTCAGTTCTTCGTTACGTGAATACAAATAAAATATTTTTTTGAATCATTCAAATCGGATGCTCCGTTCGTTCTCTCAAAAACAGAACAACTATTTTTGGCACTTTTTGACCTGTATCTCCGAAACAGATAAACCTGTCTTATCCAAAAACTAATCAGCACGTCTCTTTATCAATAGAAATCGAATGTGTTTTAAATCATTCAAATTGGTTTAACCGTGTTCCAGAAATCGAAGAAAATTTGTATCCGAACACGCACACACACTATACTAATTCTATTTTTCTAAGGTGCGTGAAAATGTTCAGAATTATCTGAAACGTAAATGTATATAAAAATTTCATTTTCGTTAATTTTGCGATTATTATAACCTATCCTATAGAAAGTTAAAAATTAGTAAAGTTAAGAATTTTTTAACAACAATATTTTAAAAAAACAGGGGAAAAAAGGTTAACTAGCCATCCGCTTGATTCATACGACGTTGATCCAGAGAAAAACGGCAATGCTTGAAAATCCATGACAAAAAGATTTTTTCGTTAGTTTCTGTGGTCTTAACTGTTGCTTAGTTTTTGAGACCTTTTGAGTTTTATAAGATGTATTGTTATTTTTAAGTTATATTTAATAGTCTTCATATAAACTTTATAAAAGCTTACACCTGGCTGAGATAAAAAGTTAACTAAGTTAAAAAGGTAACTTTACAAGAGATAATTGACATAAATAAATATTGCAACGCTGCTGATGAATATTTCTGAAGAAATACTAGATCAAAGTTATTTAGAGTGTTATCTCAAAATATATGAATAAGTGTCCCAGAACTTATCTTCAAACCCAAACTGACTTGAAAAAATATAGAAATAGAATTATTACACGTTGTTCAGAAATATAAGCTTTTAAGTGCAACCTGATGAAATTATGATCATTTTTCAGTTATATTGGTTAATTTTTATTAATTTTGTTCATTTGATCTTTGGAACCACAACCGTGAATAATACCATTTCAAAGACTACTGTAAAAATAATAACATAACTCCCTTTAGTTTTTAGAATTTAAGACTTTTTGTTGAACTATACATTTAATTTTTTTAAATCGGTCGACTTTGAGAGACTCCTTTATAAAATAATGTGTTACAGCTAGCACAAGTTTTATCAAAAAATGGCGCAATCAATTAGAATTGTAATATACTTCATAATTTTATTATTGAAAAACTCTTCAGTTTTCTTACATTCAGTTTTTTTCAGATTTCAATTTAGTATTCGAAATTAAATTTCAATAATAAAATTTAATTTCGAATACATAAGTAATTCAAATTTAAATTTACAATCCTGATTAAATGCGCCAAAATATTTAATAATGTGCAAATGTGCATAGCATATCAACAAAAATCATATTCGTGCTTTTTTCAGTAGTAAAATTACTTGAAATATTTTTTAAAATGATTACCACAATATTATACTACCCCCCCCCCTTAGAAACTCAACCACTATGTTCAATGAAAACCAAT